TCGCATGGTATTTGAGTAAAAAAAAACAAATGTACGATTGAACATGAAACTCTTGAACGAGCTGAGCTGTAAGCACAGTTTTTGGATTTTCGTTCAATTTAAATAATAATATTTTGCAAACGATGTTATTAATAAAAGTTAATGAACTTTATAGAAAGAAAAAAATCGGTTAGGAATCTATATTTTATGAAGGCCAACGAGACAAACGAGTGCAAGGGAAGCATTGTACATAGGAGCTATGTACTCTTGTCAGTGTCGTCTTCTTCCTTATTTGCCTACTATACGTATATCGATCATTATAACAAGCTGCAAGCATCACTTAAATGTTTATGCAATTGGGTGGTTGTTATTATCTAGCGTTTCCTAAAATAGTACACATCAATAAAATAAACAGTATTTTAACTAGGTCGAGAACGTTGGGTAAATATTTGTGCGGTTATCCGCTCAGTAACTTATGTTTAGCAAACACTTTCCGTTCCAATGAGTTTGTTCCGTACATATAAACTCCATAAAGACTGTACACGCAGAGGGTATCCCGGATTGACGTTTCAATATATTACAAATAAGCTTTAGCAACTTTAGTTGGTAGTTTACCCCATAGTTGAGGTACTTAAAAGTTAAGACACAACAAAACTTCATGACTCGCATAATAAAATATTTACAAAGAACGCTGATGATCTTTTCTCGTTTATGCCGAAGTAGGTATTTATTCTGTATATATTTCTTCGTAGTTTTATTTTTGTCGATGCGGTGAATGTTTTTAACGGATTCCCAAGACGACGGCTGTTATTTAACATTATATATTATTATTAACGATTTAAACACTAAAGTAATTATTATCCGCCATTGCTGATTACCGTATACGGTTTTCGGTAACCTTATTGCACTTCCGCGACGATACAGAGTTAAGTTTAAATACGACGTTAAACTATGTTACTTAATTTGAATTTGATCTAAAAGGTCTGGATTTAATTGCTTCCATTCCATCTAATCGAGAAACACGTATACAACTCACAAGGTCAATTATAATATTTACTAGCTAGACGTAACATAGCTGAATGATCCAAGTGTTTATTTAATAGTACAAAATTCCGAGTAGGTTTTTTAAAAATTCATCTAACTCTTTTTATTATTGATTAATATAGCAGTAGTTCTTTATAAGTGTTATTACATGACGACTGACCCGTTTCCGTGAATTATTTATATTTATAAAACATGCAAGTAGAAAGCATTATAAAGGAAACAAAAAAAAACCAATATACAACAGAGCATATCTATTGAGTGTGTACATTTATTGATTGTAATAGGATGTATTTACAGTATGCATCCGGTGATAAAATAAACGTATAATAGGATTTCATTGATTTCACATTGTATACATTTCAAAACATTATTAAACGTGTAGAATTAGTCATTGTGCTAACTGCTAGCGAACATTTTAATAGGTAATTTGATAAATTAGTTTTAATTTTCTTGTTTTTAATTGGTTTTTAAACAGAATACAACAACTTTAATATCTTTCAAAAATATGTACAAATATTAACCAAAAGTCGGTACTAATATCACGTTAATAACTAATAAGGACTTGTGATTTCATTTCAATCACACTCAACGAAAAACCACAATCTATAATCATATTTGATTTTAACCCTGAAAAAAATCACTATTTATGTAAAAAAAAAAAATACAAAATAATTTCGGGAGGCGATGATAAGTTATGTGTGTACAAATAATATATATAATATTTTCATTAAAACCGAAAATCTAAACCAGAACACAAATTAATTTTGAATATTAACTATGCGATGAATATTTTACATTGAAATAATTGGTCGTGAGAACTATTTTTTTTCTTACTAAAATATGCACGATACATTTTTTAAAATCAATTTTCAATTGTGGTTTTCGTTGAGTGCAACAACCTGTATTATTTATCTAATTATTTTATAGAGACAGGAATAAATGCATAAATAAGTAGGTATACAAAATTTAATGATAAGTTGATATTTTTAGTATAAATATTTTATGTATATTTCGATAGTTTTTATTTAATTAAGTCTGAGAATTGCAAATAACCAATACCGATATCTACATTATTACTATTATATACATTACTCGTAAAAATAGACAAGTTTTTCGAATAGTTTTGACAGTAAATTTAAATTAATACTAAATGTTCTGATAAAAATAACGAATGGTGCTAGGCTTGAATAATTTATTTCTTATGTAAATTTAAAAGTAATTAGGTAAATTTTTATGTTATTAACTTAGAAAATGATAGGTAAGTGCGATCGTCAACCGCTTTAACTCGAAAAAACTTTCAATTTAAATAACTACATATTTGAAACTGGTTAACAACCAATTATTTTTACTTTTAGTAAAACATTTTTGTATCAATACAATAATATTATTATTATCGTTTGAATATCAGAAGTTGATTGTAAAATAATGAGTTTAAGAAAGGATAAAGCTAAAAACAAATACATATGTTTACCATAATAAAATATTATAATGACTCACTATGGATCTACACAAGGTTGTACGATTGACCGTCATGTTACAGAATATTATACCTACGTTGTTACGTATAGAAGAGTACATATAATAAGAAATGTGGTTTTGATATTGCAAAAGCTTGTCGAGCCCGTTTAAAATGTTCCACGGTGGTGGGGGCGTTTAATCAACCTAACCTTATCGACATTATCCCTTTAGCACTGAATATAATTAAAATGTATTCTTAGTTTTAACATAATATCTACCAGTTAAAGTTTCTATAAAACCCGTCAATCGATTTTAGTAATCAAAACATACTCCAACTCTATGACCCAAGCTACACAAACCGGGTTCTTGCTTCTTATCGGTACGGGTGATAAATTAACCACATAATTAACGTCCTATAAAATGACCTTACAGAAGCGCTGTGGTATACACAGTCGTACTGGTTTGGTCAGATAACAGATTGTATATTTTAATGCCATCGCCGGTTTTCTAGAATAATTACCAACGACCTAAGCCCAAAGGCCGTATAATAATAATATGTGTTCTTTCACAACGTGAAAAAAATTACTGTACTTAACAATTCCATTTTTAAAAACAAACACAACATTTTACTATGGTACAAAACACAAGCGATATGAATGAGAACGCGCAAGATGGACGTTTTGGGACAACATGAATAAATGTGTCCTGTACTGTAATTTATGTAAAACCGCCTAGTTTTTATTTTTCAAACGGGTCAACTGTAATTAATTACGAATACCTTACACCTTTTGTACAACGTACTTGACACATAATTAAAACAAGAGTATAAAAAGATACATAATCGTCGGACCACCGAGATCAGGGGCATAGGCGTATGCTATTTTGGTTATTGTGAAGGGATTAAAATTAATATAGACAATTATTATATCAACCCTTTTTGGATCTTTTGGCAACCGTATAATTATTTAAATGTCTTAAAAATCGGGTATAATGAAGTCCTTTATAGCAACTGTTACTTTAAATTTACTTGACATTTTTACTCGAATCGAAAACATAACTGAAGTTAATAAATTCGATTTTGATTATTGACGGATACAATTTTCTAAGTAGATATTTGACGACGGTTCAATATTATTGTAGATTCATAAAGTAATATTAAACCGTGTGGTTCGAGTTCAATGAAGAACTCCATTCATATGAATAGGTGTGAACACGAAGGGAAGCACAGGATTTTTGCGGCTGCACGCTTTGAGGGTTTGGTGAAGGTAGGAGGGTGTTCCCGGCGGCTTGTCCCTTATTACACAACACACCTACTTGGAAATTAATACATCAAAATAATAATGATGTTAAATTTAGGTAGGTACTAGAAATAATTATTTATCTCTATGATGTAAAACGTTTTCGTTTATCGGATATTTGCGATTCCGAAGTCCGTGAATACCTAAATATATTATGTAATCGGTCTTTTTTTAACTTACTCAAATTTAAATGATATAAAAATAAATGCACAAGTATACTTTGATTTTTGCTGCAAACTAAAAATTCGTTTTGTAACTATTAAAAATATACTAACGCGCCAATAAGTATCTGACATTTACATTGCAGACGTATGAAACATATTATTAGTCTTTATTGTTATTTTTAAACGTTTTTGTTGCACTAAGCGAGTTATCTCACCTGAACTACCTGGCACCGTTGCCCCTACAAAAGACCCTTTATAATATATATTATTATTCCTACTCGAGTTTAAACATTACTTGAGTTTTATAATTTATCGTGAAAAACATAGTACACATGTTGTGCAATAATAGGTGTTATTAATTGTTACTTGAAGTTTGGAACATAATCTGTGTTAAAGTATAATGTACTTTAAATTTATAAAGATGTGTTGTAAATTATTTCCGAGAGCGTGACGCGCGTGATTGATGAACGCACCTCATTTTTATTTCACACTTGAGTTGGATGCGTGTACGTGTAACGATACTTTTATTATTATATATTATGTGTGTAAAACAATCTGAGGACGGGAAGGTCGTGTGTTGACATAATTAAAATTATGTTTTTTCATCGCGATAACTGCGCTATAATTATAGAAAAATGTGAATTGTCGGACGAACCGATACTTGAGCAGACATCCAACGTCGAATGGAAAAAAAGCAGGCATATCGCATGACGCGGCCGACAGGCCACGGCGTCAAGGGAGACCGGTCGCGTGCAGTGCTCGCGTTTCCCGTGCCGGCCGGACGGTGGCGGTCAACCGGTTTCGCGTACAGGCCAATGGCGGCGTCCGTCTGCGTCGTCGCACATATTTGCGACGGGCCGACCGTTTTCCGGGACGCAAACGTCGCACGGTCAAGCGGACGCCGGCGGATCGAAGACGGATGACGGAAAAACGTCGGTCGACGGCCGTTGCGGAGGGAGTTTGGGAACCACTATGCAGACGACCTTGGGTGGAATGAACGTTACACGAGGAAAAAAAATTGTACCTAGGCATTAGAAGAAAAAATTCAAAAATTTACTCTCGAGTTTCGAACGGAATTCCATTGGGTCGTCGCCGACGGTGTCCGTCGTCGATTTGATCACCACGCCTTTGTGTCTGTCCACGGCACCGGAGAAAACCGACATCTTCCTGAACGAAAAACAAAATCATTTTTTAATTTTTCACAGATTTATGCCGAAGACGAGAACAGTTTACGTTGTGCTTTCGCCTCTCTACTGATCAATTTGCCATTTTTTTTTTTTTTTTTACCTGAACGCTTCCGTAACTAGACGCCTCGATATCATACAAAAAGCCGGCGTATCGTGCACGTTTTAACCTGTTGCCCGCGTCGTCGTAGTTCTGCAAAAAGGGACGAAAACGGCTGCGGTGCCCGGTATGAACGGTGTACACGTGAGACGGAGACAGAGCGAGAGAGAACGAACAGAAGGAGAATATGGATGGAAGAAAAAAAATAAAAAAGGGAAAGAATGTGCCGGGTAGTGACGGTACGGTGTGGGCGGGGGCGGCGGGGTGAGGCGAACGACGGCGGTTGCCGGTTGCAACAGCGCCGCCGACTGGTCGATAAAGCTGAGAAATTTGTGGGCGCTGACAGTGCGGGCCCGCCGGAGCGCAGTCGACTGGTGTGTGTGTTCGTGGTGCGACCGTGTTGTTACCGTCCGTGCACCGTCGAATCCGGCCGAGAGCCGCCGCCGCCTGTGTGTTGGTGTCTGTGACTGTGCGTGCGTCAGTGTGCGTTATCCGCCTCCGGTAATTCGACTCCTCCGTGTTATTACCGCCGTTGTTGTCGTCGCGGACACAAGGAATAATCGCGTTGAGTTTAAAAGAAAAAGAAGTTTTTATACAAATTTACTATCGAGTGTTTTTTTTTTTGTTGTTGTGATTTTTGAAAAGCATTTTTATTTACCACGACCCGTGCAACCGTGTGGCCGTTGTCATGGTGGTTTTACGTGCGGGGAAAGTGAGACGATGATAACATGACGTTGTTTTGCGTTCGTTGCGAGACGGCGGCCGCCGCCACCACCGGTCCGGAATCGTCCATTGAAAATAACGGGAACGGCCGTCGTGATCGATCAGATCGGTATTATTATTATTCCTATACACGGTGAACACACGATGCTGCCGTCGACTTCGATGATAATTATTATATTTTACCGTTGTTTTTGTTTTTCTCCGTCCGTCGACCACTGACCGTTTTGTGTGCGCGTGTTGTCTTGTGATTTTTTTTCTTTCGTGTGCGACGTTCGTTCGATTTGAAAAAATCTATATAATTATAATAATATTGTAATTACCGTGTCTAACCTATTGCTGTGCCGCGCCACCGTTTGTTTACATTTGGTTTTTGGACCGCCATCGTCAAAATGTCCTGAACCGGACGCGATGCTGTCGCCGTTATCATCACCAATGCTGAAGGTAAACAGCGTTTTATTCGATATGCAAAATATGATTCTTGTCCGAAAATTACCTATAAACAATAATTTAAGCTGCAGTTCCTTTTTGCCACGAACCCGTGACAAGAGACACAGCTGCGGTGTATCAATCATACCTAGGTAGATTAGTTTTCTTCGGTCTAGTAACTATTTCACATAATTCGGATAGGCGATACTTACAGTCGACCACGCCATAATATACAGTATACACCTACTTTTTTTCCGTTAACTCGTATTTAATTAATAATATCTATCTTTTCTGAGTCAAAGTGGTTAAACAAAGTCACACCGCAAATCAATCACCGTAGATATATTTATGTAGCAGTTGTATATTTCTATGTTCGTTTCTGCCTAGTCAGTATCTAAGATCGTCTATAATCACCGACGTTCTTCCAATGACCATTTAAATGTGATTCGGCGAGTTAGAATAATTAGCAGTCGTTTGGATTTTCAAAAACCTAATTCTAAATAAAGTACTATCGTTAGATATTGTGATGTAGACATATGCTGCAAAGAATCGCTGGAACAATAAACCAATTTTTTTTTTTTTACATTAACCAGGTAAAAACTATAGTTACTGCATTTATTATCTAACCATGTTTATTCATTATCAGTTTCTACCTAGTTCATCGTTTAAAAGTATTAAGCTTGGTCTTATGTTACAGGCATGTGTATAAATAGTGTATACGCCTACAAAACAACCAACCTAACTTAAGGGCTAACACTACTCTGATACTATTCTGTAAGCGACCGCTGACTGAATAAATGTAAACTGAGACTAAAGCGCGATGGTGGTTTTAAGTTAAGTGGGAATGCAGAGATGTTAGTTAGAATGCTGGGTTTCAAAATGTTTATACATTTCTTTCTGAATAATCTCTAAAGAATACTTTACCAGTGCAAGAGATTAAGGCTAAGACGATATTGAGAATTGCCTAGAATGCCAAAAGTCACAAATATTTTAAAGCTATTTTCAAATGAATCATATGGTTTTTTTTTTTTTACAAAATCATGTGTTGAACAAATAATATGGCATATGGATGATGCATTATATAGAACGAGTGCACTTCTGAAGTCTTAGGCCAGAGGTGTAATTTCTCTTAAACCAACATTCAATAGAAAAATTATTTCTATTATCTTAATTATGCTATATAATATCATTTTTAACTTGTACAATAAAGAATACCTAGTAATTAATAAGTAGGGAATTTTTAAATTAACAAAAAGATGAATGCTCTATAATATTTAAATTATTTAAATTTTACATTTTTGATTTAAGAAACTACCTACTAAAATGAAATGTTTTCACATCTAAGAAACAGAAACTTGACAGTAATTGTTAAGGTATTCTTTTATTTAACAAAATTTCAAGTATTATTTCTTTTAGTGAATTTCTTTTTTTTTTATATATTTTATTCCTACCATTACTTTGCTGATAAGTGAAAATAATACAAATTATAATAAAAATATGTAAAAGTTATTCATATTTATACTTATATATAATTTCCTGAAAATTGTAATCATATTAATATAGTTAAATAATGTGTCATTAATAATTAAAAAAGAAAATATGAACCAGTATTTAAATCTTAAAACAATACTCTTCAATTCTATTCATTCTATATTTTAAGTTCAAATTAATGGTAGATAGGAAAGTGTTTTAGGTTTGTGATAAACAACTTCATTAACGATTGGTCTTTGTTAGAGTTAGATAACACTATGTGCACGAGCTGTTGATTTCTCATTAGTCCTCGCTACGCGTGGAACGCGGATCGAGAACCTTGATAGACTATCAGAGACATCAATTATTTTAATGACAATTTTTAAACAAATTATGGATCACTTATATGTCAGATTTTTAGAGTTAATAGTCTCAATTTACTAATTGTATCCGAAAGTGAAATGTTTATCTTGTATTTCATTAATTAATAAAATGTATACTGAATGTTATCTTATTGATATACACTGTGCAAATAAGTAATGTATAAAGTTTTTACTGTCTGGAAGTTTAAATCTGCGATATGTCTTCTAATTGTTCTAACATCTCGATTGGCTTTATTTACAGTGTCATCAATATTATTTTTTTAAGATCAACTTACTATCAAAATATACATCAAGGTCTTTGATTACATTAGTTGTACCTAATTACATAATTTTATAAGGCTATGTAAATCTAGAATAAGTTCTAGTAAATTATTTAGTTTAGTTAATTGTCATCTGATTATTGCTACACCATCGAATACAATTTTTTACGTCAAATTTCTAACTTTTTTTTGTAGTCTTCTAGATTATTAATGGTCTTTAATAAATTCATTACTGAAACATTGTAATAATAAAATATTCCGCCAAATCCACATTCTTCTAGTTTTTTAAATTAATAGCATATAATTAACTTTATATAGGGTCTTACTCAAGTCAGTATATGTATATGACAATTATTGTTTTATGCTTATTTTACTTGGTTGGTAAATTTAAATGAATTGGTTGAGTGGGTAACATAAAACATAGACCAGTAAAGTATCCATTTTGAAAATTTGTAATTTGATGTATTGTATGCCAAAACGAGATGGTTGTTCGCCTATAAGTTTTAACTTCAAATGTTTACCCTGTTTTGTGAGTTGGTGTAATGTTGTTAAAGTAGTTTTATTTTTGGAACAACTTACAATTATAAAATTGATTAATTTTAAATATTATTTTAAGGATGAATAACAGCTGTGACTCTTAGACGGTAATCGTTATTTAAATACTGCCATCCTGATTGCATATCTTAAGTTATTTTAGCGGAATAGATTTTGAAAAATGTAGATTTTACAGGCTGAAATTTTGGTCTAGAATCTAAGATATAGATTTTTTTATCTCATTTTCTATTGGTTATTAAAAAAAATGAATGTTGAGAAAAACCAAGAAAAATGTATTATTCTTATTAGTTATTAATTATTGCAATTTTATTAAAAATATATTAGATGTTTTGATTGACCATGTGTGTTGTACCCATTACTTTCCAGTTGAATATAACACATTAAGTATTCGATTGGAAAATATTAAAATACAGAATATACCTATTCGTTTACATTTTTATGATTTAACCTCATAATAATAATGATAAATCTTACACTAATAAATTGCAGCACTTACTTAATATACAGTTTTTCGTGTGGGTGTTGAATTAAATAGATATTTATTCTTTACAGCTACACAACTTGGTCGTCGACATTAATATATTTACGTATAGAAGTATACACACGTTTAAAAAAAAACTGATCATTACTGAGATAACTATTATAATAATGTTTAAACGTATTTGTCAAAATAAACACATTACAAAGTTCTCACTTGTTTGTATGTCAATAATAATAATAACCGTATAAATCATTAAATATGTTAATTTATTTACTAAAAAAAAAAAAACACTGAAAACTAGTCTCAATTTATTATGGTGATTTTCTTAATAATGAATAAAACTAAAACTTAATTTCAAAAAAAAATTACACTGCTTTATTAGTACTGGTAAAATATATTTATGTAAAGTAGAACTATCAAGTTATAGATAGATTTATTACTTTAAATCGATTCGTTAAAAATTAGAAATTCTATACATATATCATGATTTTTAATTTTATATTATATTACACTAGTCATTAAATAAATTAAAAATTAAATCATCATGTATTCAGTATAGTGATGGGAATCAGAAAATCCGGATTTTCACAAAAAAACGCTATTTAAGCTACTTAAAAATCATATAAGTGTTAAATAATTTTACAATATAAAGCTCTATATCTAAGTAACATTTTTTTGATAAATAGTGAAAATAAAACAAAACACCAAAGAGATAAACTGCTTTTGAATTTCGGATTTGTTGATTTCCGAAAATCCGAAAGCATTTTATAGACAAAGTTAAGAATTTTTTTTTTAAATTTTAATTAACAAATTTTACTTAGGTACACATCTTTATATTGTAATAGTATTTAACAATTATATGATTTTCAAATGACTTAAAAAGCGTTTTTTTGAAAAATCCGGATTTTCGTATTCCCATCACTAATTCAGTACAACTTGTTGAAATATTTTATTATTCATATTACTGAAGGTCTTACTTTCAGTCTTATGTTATTCAAATGTAAAATTGTACTACCAATGATTTTAAATAAATAAATAAGCAGTGTTCCTTCCCCACAAGAGTATTGCCTCCTTTTGTAAACTCAGAATTGGTCACAATTTACTCCTAGCCCACGCCTTCAAAATGGAGCTCAATTCGGTACCTTTCTATCACTTGCATGAGGAAGAAGCTATCGGTGACTTCACTCATCTCGTTTTTGAGTGTCCTTTCCTTAATTCCGAAAGAATTACTTTTTTTAATTTCCTTGCCTCGCATGGCATCTCTAATCCTAACCCAGCTCTCATCCTTAATTCCCGCGTTGTTCCTGTAATTTATGCCACAATATCCTTCATCTTTAGCTCTGGTTATACTATATAGTTTTTATTTTTTTTTTAAATTTTTTTTACTTAACTATACTTCTTAATGTAATTTTCTTTATGTACATATTACCTATTGTAACGCTTTTCTATTTTTGGTTAAATAATAATTTGTAATTGTCGAGCCATCATATTTTCCAATAAAGGCTAATAAAAAAAATTTAAAAAACCGTGTTCTTCTGTAAAACAAGACCAATTTCCCACTGTCAGCAGAGCTACCCTCATCGTAGTTATTAGATGGTAAATCCTCCTTGACAGCAAGAATCCCATATATAATTATTGGTCATAAAACGAATGGTTATACAACTTATTTTAGTGAAAAATTAATAAAAATTATTATTATAGCTCCAATGCGAAACTAAGTAATTTTATTTTGTTTTTGTTCATTATTTAGTTATTAATAAGCTGTCAATAGCTATACAATTCCTTTGTGGTTGTTGTTTCATAGTTTATTTTCTTTTTTGTGGTCTACTTTTCTTTAAAATGTTGACAAGTGAACGGATAGTGAAAACAAGTTGCAATGTTATTGATATAAAAAGAGAATTCATGTCTTATTTTATCCTTCAGTCAAATAAAATAAATTAAAATGTAAGGTTTTGTTTTGAAATGTGTAACAAGACAAAATTAATACAAAAAATATCATAATTTTCATATTATGTCAGATTTTGTTTCATATGGAATAATTTTCGTGCTATGTTGGTATTTATGATAAAGATAATAGTTTTCTAAAAGAGTCAAATTTTTGTGAATCACACGCAGCACTGAACTTATAACTTCTTTTGTATTAATTGTTGGTTACACATTTTGTCGTTCTATCACTATTTATATCAATATATTATTAAAATAATATGAGATTTTATTTAGTAAATTATGTTTGGTAAAAAACTATGATACAAGTCTGTTTTTATAAAACTGTAATTAATCAATTTTGAAGTGTGAAATTGTTGTGCAACTTAAAATAACCTTTCTACTCGCCACCTTGCATCGACTAAATAGGAGTTTATAATTTTATTATCCATTAACAACTGATTTTTAGCTCATTATTACATTTTAAATTATATATTTATTTTATAGACTTTTAATAGATGTTTTTTTTTTCAGGAATAAAGCCTTGAATAGGCCATATTTAACATATGTCTTCCATATTCCCATGTGCTGGCAAACCCAAAAGTCGTACAATGCAGACATCCCACTACCATCTGTGGGTAACAATATTTTTTTTAGCATGCCTAAATGTAATTTCCGGTAACGCCAATATAATCAAAACGTTCGAAGATGAAGTCGGAACAACATTGTTCAACCACCTCATCATCGACAAGAACACCGGTCGACTATTTGTGGGTGCCATCAATAGGATTTATCAACTCACGCCGGATCTCAATGTAACCAACCAAGTTGCCACAGGCCCCATCGACGACTCGTTCGAATGTGGTGCCAACATGTGCCCTAACTCGACCATAAAAAATTTAACAGACAACATTAACAAAGTGCTCGTTATAGATTACAGTACTTCCAGAATAATTACTTGTGGTTCGATTTTACAAGGTATGTGTACGGTTCGAAATTTGAATAACATATCTAATACGGTACAACAAGTCAAAGAAGCCGTGGTCGCCAACAACATGGAAGCGTCTACCGTAGCTTTCATAGCGCCGGGACCGCCTAATCCACCGGTAACCCAAGTAATGTACATTGGCGTCACTTACACTGGTAACTCTCCGTACCGTTCCGACGTTCCGGCCATTGCTTCCAGGAGTTTGGACAGTCAAAACATGTTAAACATTGCTCACTTGGGAGTCATTTCTGGTACTCGCGTATTCGTCAACACTCTGAACCGAGAACGCTACCTGATCAATTACGTTTACGGGTTTAGTTCCGAGAGTTTCAGTTACTTTTTAACGACTCAAATGCGCACAGCTGCGTCAGGATCAGCTTATATATCGAAAATGGTGAGATTATGTCACGAAGACAAGAGTTATTATTCGTACACAGAAATCCCACTAGAGTGTATCAGCAAAGACCAATCGTACAATTTAGTACAAGCTGGCTACGTGGGCAAAATCGGATCGGACTTGGCCAAAGATATTGGCATAACGCCACAAGACGACGTTTTGTTCGCCGTGTTCTCTGGAAGTAATTCAAACGACAGCGAGCTGAAGAACAAACCCAACGAACAGAGCGCTTTGTGCATTTACTCGTTGAAAGCGATCAGACGGAAATTTTTACAAAACATCAACACTTGCTTCAGCGGCAAAGGCAATCGAGGTCTGGACTTCATATCGCCTAGTCACGCTTGTGTCGGTACCAAACTGCAAGCCATCACCGAAGATTTTTGCGGATTGGACGTGAACACTCCTCTGGGAGGAGAATCACCGATGACTGCAGTTCCCGTATTGACGTTTAACACCCATCTTACTGCTGTCACTGCAACATCCACGGGTGATTTCACTGTCGTGTTTGTAGGCACCAGCACAGGCCACATCAAGAAAATCGTCGTGGAAAGTTCCTCCAAAGCCATCGAGTACGGCGACATTGTCATTCAAGAAAATTCGCCCGTCAATCCAGATCTGATAGTTGACCCGCAGCAAATGCACTTGTACGCTATGACTAAAAACCGAGTGTCCATGATCAAAGTACAAGAATGTCACATATACAATACGTGCTGGGAGTGTCTGTCCGCTAAAGATCCGTACTGTGGTTGGTGTTCTTTGGAGAACAAATGTAGTTTACGGTCGAACTGCGAAGACGCGGCCAACGATCCTTTGTATTGGATACCGTACAAGAGCGGCAAGTGTACGAAAATAGCTTCGGTAACACCTAATCAACTTCAAAAAACTACCGCGAGAACGTTGGAACTGATAATCGACAACCTACCCATATTGGAAGGACCTTTTTATTGTGCTTATTCGGTGTTTGACAAAGTGTTAATTACTAACGCAACGAGAAAATCGTTTGGAGTCAATTGTACTACGCCCCAAACCGACCTACTTCCGCTCACGCCGTCGGACCAACATCATTTCACAACAAAATTATCAGTGAGGACTGCCAACGGTCCGGACTTTGTCGCCACCAACTTTACCTTTTTCGATTGTAGTACATATACGTCTTGCACTCAGTGCGTCAATTCGTCTTTCCCGTGTGACTGGTGCGCTGAAGCTCATCGGTGTACTCACGATACCGCGGAAAACTGTAGAAATAACATTTTGGTTACTGGCGTCAACCGCGTAGGTCCTAGTTTTAGGAGTGGACCTTCGTTTTGCCCGACAATAAACGGCTCCGACACCGGTAGCACCGAAATACTAGTACCTTCCGGTATCAAGAAGTCTCTTAGGATAAAAGTTCACATAATAATAACACAGTTTGTCGCCCAGACGCGATTCGTGTGCCAGTTCAACATCGAAGGACGCGTGTCCATCGTGAACGCCCGTTTAGTTTCCGACATCATCTATTGTGATGTCATGGAATTCAGCTACACTTCACGTTTGCCCAACATAACCGCTACTTTCGCCGTTATTTGGGGTGGCTCGAAGCCGCTAGACAACCCGCATGACATCCACGTGGTTATATACCGGTGTAGCGATATGGCCGACGATTGTGGCATGTGTTTGGCCCTTCCGGAGAAGTACAAGTGCGGATGGTGTCAGGCCAGCCACAGCTGTGAAGTGATGGACCAGTGCGATCGGGCTCTCGGTATATGGTTAAATCGCAACAAAACCTGTCCGAATTTACAAATAACGTCATTTTGGCCGCCGGCCGGTCCCTGGGAAGGCGACACGAACATCACCATCATTGGCAAGAATTTGGGCAAGAACTTCAACGACATTTACAGTGGCGTCACTGTAGCCGGGCTGCGGTGCGCCCCTTACGAACATCTTTACGAAATGACCAGAAAGATCGTATGCAGAGTAGACGGCCCCGGCAGTGAGGACCTCAGAGAAGGCCCGATCGTAGTGCAAGTAGAAGGATACCGAGGTGAATCTAAAGTCAACTACCATTTCGTAGATCCTATTATCACTGGCATGCATCCGGGGTATGGTCCCAAATCTGGAGGCACTAGGCTAAAAATATTCGGCAAATTTATGAACGCCGGCAGTAACATCCAAGTGTTTTTCGAAAACACTCTACCGTGCGTCGTCATTAACACTACATTCAGCGAGACGACTTGCATAACCGGTGCTACGCACGAACGCGTTATAGGCAAAATCAAAATGTTCTTCGACAACTCTCCTCGAGCGTTCGACTCGCAGACTTACGAATACACCGAGGACCCTAGCGTCGATTCCGTTGAATCCGGTGCTCTTGGTCAAACTAAAGTTCCTAGAGGAATCGTATCGGGTGGAATCAAAGTATCTGTTACTGGCAAGAATTTCGCTTTCGTTCAGACTCCTCGTTTGTACGTGACCTTCGGGAACACGAGGTATTTCGGTGATTGTCTCGTACTCAGTAACCTGCAATTATTATGCGAGTCTCCCCACATAGTTCCTCTGCAACACGACCAACCGGATCCCGATAAACCGCTGGAGTTGGATTACGGTTTCGAGATGGACCACGTCGTCAGCGTGCAGAACTTATCGACAAGACGTGCTTTTCCCAGGTTCTTGCTGTTCCCCGATCCGATGTACACGAAATTTGACGAAGACATCAAGTTCTATAAAAGCGACTATCTCACCATCAACGGCCATCATCTGGACAGGGCCTGCCAAGAAACCGATGTCACCGTGCAGATCGGCACAAGCTATTGTAACGTGACTTCGTTGTCCCGCCATCAACTCACGTGTCGTCCACCGCCCACACAACCAATGCCGCTGAATGACGATTATCGAATGACCGGCTCACAAGAACTGCCTGAAGTCATCGTTACCGTCGGGCCTAATTTGAAGTTCAACATCGGCAAACTAAGTTATGCTCCATCTAGCGTCAACAGTCCTCTGACCAAACCCGCCCTGTTTGGCGGCATAGTCGGTATGGTGATAATATTCATAATTTTTATCGCATTCCTTATCGCGTACCGGCGCAAGTCCACCGAAAGTAGCAGAGTGCTAAAGAACATGCAAGAGCAGATGGACATACTGGAATTGCGTGTGGCCGCCGAGTGCAAGGAGGCGTTCGCCGAACTGCAAACCGAAATCACTGACATCGCTGGCGAACTTACATCCGGTGGTATTCCGTTCTTAGACTACCGCACGTACTCCATGAAAATCCTGTTCCCCAACATGGAAGATCACGGCGTTCTGCAGCGCGAAAAACCGGAGCTCATACGCAAAGAAAAGGGCATTCGGCTGTTCGGCCAGCTGATACTCAACAAAACGTTTCTATTGCTGTTCATCCGGACACTGGAAAGCAATCGTTATTTTTCGATGCGCGACCGTGTGAACGTCGCTTCACTGATCATGGTGTCGTTGCAAAGCAAAATGGAATACTGCACGGACATACTCAAGACTCTTTTGGCCGAGCTTATCGAAAAGTGCATGGAGGGTAACAGCCATCCCAAACTGTTGTTAAGACGAACCGAAAGCGTGGCCGAAAAAATGCTATCGTCATGGTTCACGTTCCTGTTGTACAAATTCCTGAGAGAGTGCGCTGGCGAACCGTTGTACCTGTTGTTCAGAGCTATGAAACAGCAAGTGGACAAGGGTCCAGTGGACGCCATCACGTCCGAGGCTCGTTATTCGTTGAGCGAAGAAAAACTCATCCGGCAATCCATTGACTTCGTGCCAATGACTGTGTACGTTTCCATCTCGCAACAGACGGCCTTCGTCACCGGTCTGGACCCCAACACCGAGAACATTCCGGTCAAGGTGTTGGACTGCGATACCATTTCGCAAGTGAAAGAAAAATCTTTGGACACTATTTACCGGGCAATGCCGTGCAGTCAGCGGCCCAGGGCTTGTGAACTGGACGTGGAGTGGAGGACTGGAACGTCGGGTCGGCTAATACTGTACGACGAAGACTCGACCACCAAAGTAGAAGGCGAATGGAAAAAGCGCAATACGCTACGACATTACATGGTGCCTGACGGTGCCTACCTCAATCTAGTGTCCGTCAAACAGATGTCCACGTACAACCTGTCCATTCTTTCCGATCGAATGGACAAACACAAGTACGAGACGCTAAATCTAAGCAAATTCAACTATGACAGCCCGCCGTACAGCAGGGCGACGTCGCCACTCAACAACGACCACGACAGCGGTCTAAAGTCCTGGCATCTGGTCAAGCACCACGATAACGATGCGCAGAAAGAAGGCGAACGCGGCAACAAGATGGTGTCCGAAATTTACCTGACTAGGTTGTTGGCCACCAAGGGTACGCTGCAGAAATTCGTCGATGACCTGTTCGAGACGATTTTCAGTACGGCGCACCGAGGTAGCGCCCTCCCGCTCGCCATCAAGTACATGTTCGACTTCCTCGACGACCAGGCCATCCAGCACGGCATCACCGACCACGAAGTGGTGCACACGTGGAAGAGCAACAGCCTGCCGTTGCGGTTCTGGGTGAATCTCATCAAGAACCCCAACTTCGTGTTCGACATCCACAAGTCCAACATCGTGGACTCGTGCCTTTCGGTGGTCGCCCAAACGTTCATGGACTCGTGCTCGACGTCCGACCATCGGCTGGGCAAGGACTCTCCCAGTTCCAAGTTGTTGTACGCCAAAGACATTCCGGCGTACAAGGACTGGGTGGAGCGGTACTATTCGGACATCAAGGCTATGTCGGCCATATCGGACCAGGACATGAACGCCATGCTGGCCGAGGAGTCCAGGATCCACATGACCGAGTTCAACACCAATTGCGCGCTGTACGAGCTGTACATGTACGCGGCCAAGTACAACGAGCAACTGATGGTCACTCTGGAAGAGGACGAGTTCTCGCAAAAACAGCGGTTGGCCTACAAACTAGAACAAGTACACAACTTTATGATGGTAGACAAATAATGAAACGACGGGGGCCATTAATCAAAATATACTTAATATTTTTTTTTTTTGTAAGACGGATTATTGCTCAATATCGAGTATTGAATGGGTCAATGGGTTTTGCTACTTTTATAGCAATTTTATATACCTACACATTGTGGTACGTAGTGCGATAAGATTTTTAAGCTAGTATGTTATAAACAAATTTTTTTAAAAAAATGGTAGAAATAAGTAAAAACATATTTTTTAGATAGGATACAAACATATTTAAATAATAATAATAACACGAAAACGCGATCGATGATTATAGTAATAAATTAACATATCCATTGCGCCTAGTTCTTGCCAATAAGTTGTTACCAATAATTTATCTTATTCCGTATGCCCGAACGCCCGCATGCAATTTTTTTATTTGCTTATTTAACATCCAATTCAAGCGTAAACGATTATTATTTATGTTTTGAATATCCGTCCAAGTTTCTACCATTCTTGATTTCCTCGTTTGTGTACTTTTAATTCATAATAATCTATTCAACCTATTCTATAAGACTGAGTTTTATTTATAAATGTATATTATTTTTTTTTTTTTGTATGAGATTTTTGTTTTGATTTTTATTCAGTCATTTTTCTCAACCACTTTAGTTTTAACGCTGTGTAAAAAAATGTTATATATATATTTATTATTATATCTACTTATATAATTTATCCAATTAATGAAGCAACGCAATATGTTTTTTATACCTACTATAAAAAATTTGTTTTATATATTTATACCATTCCAATAAAATCTTATTATTCCAATTTTATACGCAGTGTGTTTTGATAACATGATAAGTACGCAAGAATTATAAATATTTTGTACTTACTAAATAATTTTTTTACTGAAATTAATATTAATATTAATTTATAATAATATTATCGTCTCCAATCATAAATTAGTAACAAATTTTTATTTGCACATAAAAAAAAATTTCTCTTCTAAAAAAGTACAATTTTTTTTTTATGTATGTATGTATTTTTTTTTTTTTTTTTTTGTTGATTTGTTATTACATTTTTATTGTATATTTTGTATTATACCGCCTAGTCTTCATTTTAGATTTACGCTTTGTTTTATTATTTTTCAAATTTTAATTTTACCTCATAACACGTTTATTTAACGAGAGAACGATATTAGGCGTACACATTCAAATGCATTTAGCTCAACCGCTTCAATACAAAACACGTGTGTCCACGGTAAATACCCATCGTTTAAGTTGGAAAACTTAAACGAATTGGAATGTGTTCCTTCCCGATCATCGACAAAATATGTTAGTTGATTATAAAAAAAAAAATGTGAATTATTATTAGTCGATAATAAATCATAAACGAATGTTGTACCCTACCATAATGTCATGATATTATTTAGTCATTCGCATTTCAATGTTTTACAAATTTATTTTTTTTTATTTTATATTATGAATTTTAATATTTTTATTGCAATATTTTTTTTATGTGTTTTATACAATCAAAATTGTGTAAGGACGTTGCGCGTTAATTAAAACGCAAATTTTACCGCAATTCGTTTCCGTTTTAACTATTAATTACTGCCCAAAAAAAAAAAAAAAAAATGCTCATCACCACGAATAAACTAACAGCCGAAGTGTCATTTAATTGTTTTTTTTTAACGGGCTCGATTACCTTTAGTTTATTGACCAAAATCAAAAAAATTAATTAAAAAACAGTATTTACTGTTAGTTTAGCCCGCGTTTTATTGTTTTTAGACCCGTCAGTTTTTTTTTGTTTCCATTTGTGTTTTAACGACCGTGCAACGGCCTCGTCATATCTATTATAACAATAATATTAATAATACTCGATTATTATTGTATTCCAAACATTATGTTTTTAATATAGGTTCCTATGTAGAGCGTAAGAGAAAAAAAAACACAAAACAACATATTATATGTTAATTATAAAATATAAAAATTGCCCTCTTTTGTCCTGTCCAAAATAATATAAATATATTCATATATCTATTTATAGTTTTAATAATAATCATAATACAAATTATCGTGTAAATATCATTATATATATACAAGTAAAATAATAAAACCTAATGTTAACATATTGTTTTGACGACTGCGTGTATGTGCATTGTGCATATTATATAAAATTTACATTTTATAATTATTTATTTACCAAGCGATAATTAAAATACATATAAAAATGTACGCCAAACACAAACGTGTATGTATTTTTGATATTATTGTGAAATATAATACTGTGTTCTGTGTGTGTGTGTTTTATGTACCGTTTGTGATCGTGTGTGTAAAATAATTATTATAAAAAGCGCACTTTTTTTATATATTATATAAATAAATATATATATATATGTATACAAATGTATGTGATGAAAATAAAATAAACAAAAAAAATTATTTGAAAATATCTCTACACGTTATTGTTTATAATTGGTCGACCAACACGGTGGTCTATATTGGTGAAAAAAGTAATATTTAGTGTTTTTATAGTATTGTATTGTCAAGTTTTACTTGGGCCACCCACAAGATGGCGAAAAACTGTGAGAATTTCTCAAAGTATAATAAAAAGTGTTCCGGAGCAGCGAGAAACGAGTGCTTTTTTGGTAAAACTCCTATTGGTACAAAATATTTGTATTATTTGTACTTTTTGTTATACAATAAGTAAATAGTTCTTTAAAACGGTATTCTGTGTCACCAAACATTGCAGGTATGTACGGATAACCTATTGTATTTACCTTGCAATGTATACATACACGTTAACAAAGAAAGAGAATATTCGATCAAGAGACAAATCTTACAAAAATAAAAATAGTAATAAATACTCAGCTTAGAATCAAAACTAAAAATAGGACAATAAAAAATATTTGTTCAATTTATCTGAAGGATCTTGCCTACCAGGAACTCTACTATTACTTTTCGAAATCACAATACAACAGAGTGTAGCGTTATAATATTAATTCCGCACTTTAGGTTTAAAAGGGCCAGTTTATGAGTTGGACAAAAATTAGTTAGACTGCTAAATGTATAAATTAAACCTGATGACTGTCATAAAACAACAAAACAATTTTGTAAACAATGTTTTAAAAATTTTTTTTTTTTTTTGCCTTATAATATATATTATAAAAATAAATCACTTCTTGTGACAAAAGTTTTGAGGTTAAAAAAAAAAATTAATACATTGTCATAGACAAACAAAACACAAAAGCTCGTTTGTCAAAGTTGTGAGACTGACTTTTATGGACCCTAGGCACAGAATTGTATTGAGACATTTGATCACAGTGAATCAGATTGAACGTATATCGAGTTTGTAAAACTATTTTTGTTATTTGATGACTTCAGAGATGGGTAGTAAAAAAATTGGTATATAAAGTTGGCAATAACCAGGTTTCTTTTGGCTATACATAACCCTACCCTATAAAACCTATATTTTTGGCTAAACTTGAAACGTTTTCTGGGCTTAAACATAAAACGCCCGCCGATTTTTTTTTTGGCCAACTCTGTTGCTACTTTATTATTATTTACCCAGACACGAGGTTATTAAGATTTACCGGTCGGTTATGCGTTGGCCATTAAGCAGTAGGCCTATTTTATAAAAACATAATCATATTATTTCGATTGATATTATACAACGTGAGACTATTATGTCATTTTAATAATAATAATAATAATATTTCTTGATACATTATAAATTGTTTACAATTTTTGAATTACGTCACGATAAACATAATTTTTAAAAATTTGTTTTTACCATAACGATATCGAGAAAGATTAAAACGTGTAGCGTTCAAATTTCGTCCACAGTTGTAAGTGCATAATAATACATATCTATAACATTATAATACAAATATAGATATGCAAGTGGCGGTCCACGCAACGGCGGCGTTGATGATTAGTCAGTCGTTTTCGATAGTAATTATTCTCATTATTATTATTGTATTGAGAACATAATCACGTTGCCACACGCACACAAAACAAATGATTGAGGTTTTTCAGATAAGAGAAACAACGCCATAGGGCCGTATAAGTATACATAAGTAATAATAATAATTGTAATTATAAACCGGCTAATGTTCTCTCGGGCAGCTCTCTGACGGATCGGCCGAGTTGTCCGAACGGATTATAATAATATATAGGTATTGTGCTTTCATAAAAATAAAAAAGTGTCGACTATTGTGTGCCAGACTGCCGATAACCAGTTTGATTGTTAATTAAAAATAATATAATATAACGTGATACTTTTTTCGGGTACTCGGGTGGTCAAAACAAATACATAAATACACGAAATGGCCGTCGACCGGCTTAGGTATCATTGGACCACGGGGTAAACTGCTACGATATGATATTTCATTATCAGCTACTAGCTAATAGCCGAGAGTTTCCTGTCGACGATAAAAACCCGTATAAAATATTCTACGGGATTCGTTTTGTCATTAAAAAGTACTTAATATAGTAGTACCATTTTCGATATTTAAATAATACATTTTGTTTTTTTTGCACGATCTGAGCCTAAACAATAAGCGTTTGTTATTTATCTTTTTGGTTTTTGTTTCCCCGTGATTTCCTTTTCCTACTACACGACTCCGGACTCTGGAACCGGCGTTATCCGCAATGCCGTTTGTTCACCGACGATGATGATTTCAAACCGTGTCGCCGTGCACGGAGAATAAAAAATAATAATAATACGATCATCATCTTGTACACGCTGTAATAATTGGAACGTCCATAATGATATTTTGTCGGTTTCGAATAACAATAAAACGGCGGCGTCGAACCTTGAGACCCGTCAGTGGTATGCGTATTGTTTTCAATACTGTGTTGTTCTTTCTTTGATTTTGATTTTTTTTGTTTTGTTTTGTCACTCGAATTACCACCTATAGCCGAATCGACTCTAGACCCCGACGACATTCAAGTGACGCGCAAGGTCCGATTTTGTTTTTTTTTTTAACTATTATAATATTACATATTATTATTATACTTAGGTATATATAATACCTATGGCGGTTGTGTGGGCATATATTATTATGCTCTATTGTATGGGTATCTCTACACGCGGTGAATGTATAACATTGCTCGCAAGTGGTAGCCCGTTTGTACTAGTAGCTTATCTTATTAATATTCATAATTTCCTCCTTGGTTTCGAAAATATGATGTATCGAGCACTATTATTGTATAATAAACACGCGAGTTGAACGGTCAGAACAATCGATTATGAGCAGTTATTAAAAAACTAAACGCTTCGCTAGATAAATGTGTAATTTTCCATAAGTACGCAATATGTGATAATCAAAACACTCGACGGCGAACCAAGGATTTCGAGTCGGCGGGTCAGACCGGTCGAAGAGAGAGAGAGAGGGCCATAACTATGTACTTAGGCGGTGAGCTGTTTCTAGGATAGGCGACAATTTTAAATTGGGACACGGGCAATTAGTAATTTAATTTCATTATCTTTTCAACAAAGGTCATAAATAGCTGTCATTAATGTAGAGCTCTTGTGAAGTACACATTGTGTAATGGCATGCAATTCAAGAAAATATTTAAATATTTAAATAGCTAAGAAAAGTGCCTGGGCAAAAATAACAATGGCGTAATGCATATCAAATTGACTTAGAGTTACGCAATAATAATATAATGGAATTATATTTAATAATCTGTCAGGACAAGTAGGTACATTTTTAAAAGTTTTACAAACAACCGTTTATAAGTTATACGTACTTATTGTTTTTAGATAATCGTTTTTTAATACCTACTAATACTCCATTTTCACATTTATTTTAGTAAAAAAGTTTCGTAAGCTGTTTAACCTGTA